AGCCTTAGTAGCTATAAGACCTATAAAGCCTTATAACTTATAGCTATAAAAGGCTTATTATAATACCTTTAAAAGGTAATACCTTAAAAGCTTAGTACTAGTTAGCCTATAATAATCCTAAAAGTAATAAAATAGTAATAGGCTATAAAGGAAGCCTTAGTAACTATAAGACCTATAAAGCCTTATAACTTATAACTATAAGAGGCTTACTATAATACCTTTAAAGGATAATACCTTAAAGGCTTAGTATTAGTTAGCTTATAATAGTCTTAAAAGTAAAGAGATAGTAATAAATAAAGAGCTTATTAGCCTTTAAAGGGTAATACCTTAAAGGCTAATACTAATAAAGGTATTAATAGAAAGCTAGCTAGCTTTTAGTAAGTAATACCTTAAAGGCTAGTATTAATAAAGGTATTAATAAAAAGCTAGCTAACCTTTAATAGGTAATACTTTAAAGGCTAGTATTAATAAAGATATTAATAGAAAACTAGCTAACCTTTAGTAAATAATACTTTAAAGGCTAATATTAATAATATTAATAAAGAGCTTACTATAGTACTTATAGAAGGTAATACCTTAAAGGTATAAAACTAATTAACTATAATACTTATAAAGTAGCTTTAATAGGTAATACCTTAAAGACTAAAGGCCTTAAAAGTATAATACTTTTAGAATAGACCCTTAGAAAATTATAACTTAAAAGGTACTTAATATAGTTCTAGATAGTACTTATACTTATAAAAGGCTAGCTTTAATAATAACTTAGTTATAATATTAATAGTATTCTTAGTATTTAGAATTTAATTAAAGCTTAATTAATATAGTATATTCTTATTATATAATTAATAGTATTAAATATCTATATACTTTATATAAAGGTATTCTTAAATACTAGAAGTTTAGGTAATAGTATTAAAGTTATTAGCCTAGATAGTAGTCTTAGTATAGGTAGGCTTTTCCTTAAGGGTTTTTATAATAATATAGTAAAGCTATTAAATCTAGATAGCTTCCTAGGCTATATTATACTAAAAAATATACTTTACTTTAATAGTTAAGTATATAATAATATTTTATAGCTTTAAGTACTAGGATATAATATTACTTTTTAAAGTAATAATAAAGTTATTAATAGATTTATATATTTATTAATAGCTAGTATAATTAATATTATAATAGACTTAAGGTCTTTTATTAAGTCTTATAAAAATAAGTTTATAATTAATAATACCTTTAATATATTATAAAAGCTATTTTAAGCTAATAATATATTCTACTAATAAGGTAGCTATAAATTTATAGTAATAGCTAATAATAAAGTAGATATTAGGCTTAAAGTAGTTAGAAAAATAAATTAGGCTTTTATAAGTTTTAGTATACTAGTTATTCTTAATAGTTAGCTATTACTTAATACTTTTAGTAGTAAGACTTATTAATAGGTTATAAGGTTTATAGTTAAGAAGGCTAGCTTTTTTTAAAAGGGCTTTAATATATCTACTTTAAAAGAGTATAAAAGTTCTTATATATTAGTCTTAATAAATATTAATACTAAAATAATAGCTAATAAAGCCTATATTTATTATCTTATAGGTATTTAATAAAGCTTTTTTAATCTTTATAATAATAACCTTATTTTTACTAATAATAAAAAGATTATTAATATAAACTATAATAATTAGGCTATCTTTATAAATAAATAGGGAATAATTAAGCTATATAGGCTTAAAGCTAAGACTTTAAAGTATTTTATAAAAGGTTATATACTAAATC